CTCCCTCCCTCCTTCCTTCCTTCCTTCCTTCCTCCTTCCTTCCTTCCTTCCCTCCTTCCTTCCCTCCTTCCCTCCTTCCCTCCTTCCTTCCTTCTTCCTTTTTTCTTTCTTTCTAAGATAGGATCTTGTTATGTAGCACAGGCCAGCCTCGAACTCACGATCCTTCTTCGTCTGCCTCTCAAGTGTTTTAGGACAAGCCACCACACCTGACTCTGTTTTACATATTGGCATGGCATTTTGAAATAAGAGGAAGCTGAGATGCAGCTTGTCTGAACTCCCTAGGCAGCATTTGAGGGAAGTGTTCTGATTTCATTCCCATTGCTGGAGTAGAGGATGCTTGGTGTTACATTTCTGCCTTATTTGTCCCTCATTGGCAGATTGTTGCCCCTAAACTGTAAAGTGACTTATCTGTTTCCTACTTCCTTCCCATTGAAAATGGGTCTTTCACTGGGACAAATATCAAGCCTGGGAAATGCAGCAAAGCATGCTGGGAGGCTGAGCATGCATCCTGGCACTCTTTAGGCTCGGCTCTCTTCTTCCCGGGTTCTCCCAGCCACCCATGTTGTGATAAGTGCTCATGCCTTTCAGTCTTTTGCCACTATGTCATATGTACCTCTTCCCAAGCTGCCATTTCCAGGACACCATACAGACTGATCCGCCCAGAGCATCACATCCAAGCACCCGTGATCACATCAGCCAGTGTCAAAGATGCTGTTGCATCTGAAGTTTTGACAGCACAGTTTTGTCTCAGTGATAGACATCTGACCAAGAGTTTTGGATTTGGAGGCAGGGCTGAGAGATGCTAATTGGCCATTCTCATCTCTTGGGTAAATCATGTGATCAAAAGAGGTTGGGGATTGAATTGCTACCAGCTTAAATGGAGCCTGTACCTAACACTTCTGTTCCCACGCAACCTATTCACCAGGAGACAGTCTTGATTTATTTATGTATTTTATTTATTTTTCCTGGCAGTACTAGGGCTGGAACCTAGGGACTCATGCATACTAGGCAAGCACTAGTACAGAGCTATAGCCCTAGCTCTGTTTTACTGTTTTTGAGCTGGAGCCGCACTATGCTGCCCAGAGTGACCTCAAATTTGGAAGTCTCTTTTTAGCCTCTCCATCCTTTGAGCAGCAATCCTAAGCCTGAGCTACCTAAGAACCACCCAGGGAGCTTCTAGAGGCCCTGATTCCCAAATCTCTTCCCAGACCAACTGGAGTTCTTCAGTGATCTCATTGCACAACCAAGGCTGAGAACCAACCTGTGTTCTGGAAGATGCGATTGACTGAACAGATCAGAGTGAATGAGAAAGAATGAAATACCTAAAGGTGGAATAAGGGGGTGGGGGTGAGAGTTGGGGGCTCAGGGAGAACCACAGACGGATGGTGTGATGCTAAAACCAAAGAACTGAATGTAAAATAAGAGCATCGTAGCATCTACTTTATTCAAGATTTCGAGTTTTCTAGCATTGAGAAAGTGCTGAGAACATCCAATTAGAAGATCACTTAAGACTAAGTTGAAATACAAACCTGATCTGGGTGTAGTGGCACATGCCTATAATCCCAACACTCAGGATAATTGTGAGTTTGAGGCTGGTCTGGGACACATAAAGAGACCTTGTCAGAAAAGGAGGGTGGAAGAGAGGGAGGGAGGGATGGCATTTATGCAATACTTTTGTATTATTGCATTATGATGATTAGCTTTAATTGTCAATTTGATAAAATCTGGAATCTCCCGAGAAGTGAATCTCAATGAAGGATTGCCTACATTGAGTTGGCCTGTGGTCATGTCTTAAGTTAACCGATGCCAGAAGAATGAGAGTCCACTGTGGGCAGCACCCTTCCCTAGGCAGGCGATCTAGAACTATGTAAGAGTTGAGAGATTGAGCTGAGCCCAAGCAAGCATGTGCGTTGATTTCTCTGTGCTCTTAACTGTGGCTATACTGTGATTAGCTACTTGCTCTGGTCACTGTGACTTTCCTGCAATGCCGGACTCTAACCTAGAATTTCAAGATAAAATAAATCCTTACTCCCCTAAGTTGCTTTTTGTCAGGATGTTTTATCATAGCAATAGAAATGAAATTAGAAAAAGCTTTCATGTTAACTTGATGAGGACTGGAAAAGCCAGCTTCAAACTTTGCCAGCGGAAGGCCTCATCCTCATGGCCCTTTCTCTGGACTGTCCTGCCAAGGACATGTTTCTAATACGTGTCTTGGAGTCAAAGATAGTACCTCCTTCTGGAGCAATGGGCAGACATGTTTGCTATCAACTGTAAAACATTCAGGTTTTCTGAGCCCAGGCTTCCCTGGCAAGGTGAAGCCTCTTGCACATACAGGATTGTATCTGGGCTCATCCTGCTGCCCCTGTGGGTCTGAGAGATAAGTGGTTGATGTACACATGCTCCTCTCCCTGCTGCTGTGTGCCACGTATGAAAGCCCTTTGTCTCCCCTATGGAAGCATCAGCACCCATGATGTTGAATCAGGTTAACAAGCAAATGGAGTAACAATCTCAATTGCTTCCCAGTTCTTGACAAGGACAAGTATCCACACCTAAATATGGTTTGACATATTAATAGCCACTATGAATTATGCACATATGAGGTTGTCAGATAACAAACATAAAACTAAGCCACTGTAAGTTCTGAATCTTGATGTTAATAAAAAGTCCTGTTGACTAGGTTTGCAGTGGATCATGCAGAGGACCATGGAATCTGTGAGACTGGTAAGGGAGCAGGGTCCTAGATGATAGTCCTTAACATTTTCCCAGTATTCCTACCTTTTCCAGGAGGGGAGGGGCTCTTTGGCTCTGGGGTCGCCCTTGGAGTCACTACTGTGGAGGGTGGCACTGGCCTTTGGCGAGCCAGGGTGGGGTCTCCTAGAGAGAGGATAATCACATAGCATTTATGATTGTGAGGGCAGAATCTGGGGCAGTTTCAGATACAAATAAAAACAGCACATCAGTTTACATTGGCTCCCCAGCACATTTGTTAAAAGTTGGGTATGGTGGCCCAGATCTGTAACCCAGCACTGGGGGCGTCAGGGGAGGGATGGAGACAGGCAGCCTTCAGGAGGTAGGGTCTTGCTTGAGGATGTAGGTCACTAGGGATGGATCTTTGAAAGTTACAGTCCGGCTCTACTGCTGGCTGTGTTTTCTGCTTCCTGATCCACATCGTGTGAAGAACTTTGCCTCACGTTCTCGTCAACACAGATGAACTCTCCTGCTTTGCCCTCTGTGCCATGATGGACTGTGAACCAAATAAACTTTTTCCTACCTTAATTTTTCTTCCTGTCAGATATTTTAATTTCAGAGACACAAAAGCTAACTAATGCAATAAGTTGCCCAATAGTAGAAAAGCTCTCATTTTCCATTTCTGGATCCCAAGGCCATGGCTTGTTACTGGTCTTTCTGGGCTTCTCCCTTCTACTCAACCCAGTACTGTGGCCTGTTGTGCTCCTAGCTCTGGGTTGTCTGGAAGCAAGTGTCAGGGCTCCCTCCTTCCCTTCCCTTCCCTTTACTAAAGTGCCATCCATTTAAAGTGGGAAGGGGAGTGAAGGCTCTCTGACAGCCTGTGAGAAAGCCCTGCTCTTCTGGGAGCTCCCAGAAGTTTGGCCCTCACCCCATTTCACAAATGGGCAGTGTGAAGGGTACTAGTGGCTGCAGTCACACACTGAACATGCAACGGACGCTTGTTTAATCAGAACTCTCTTGGAAGACTACGAGTTAACTTTAATTTTCTAGGGAGGCAGACAGGGCTTAGTATTTCAGGAACTATCATTGAGTGACTTCCATCCCAAGATGGTTCGATTTCTTCATCCAGTTGTAGGTGATATTTTACAAAAATTGATTGTTGCAACCCTCATCTTTACTCTTGAGCATTGACTGGACCCTCTATACAGGTGAACAAGCCAGGGACACTTGGGTTGGTGGGTTTGCCGAGCCTCTTAAGTTCCAAAAACAGTGTTTGTTTCCCTGTAGCTCCCCTTGTGAGAGACCCAAAAAGCTCTCTGGGAAGCAAGCTGGAGCACAGACCCTTGTCCATAGCCAGTCCTCTTGTTATCATGTTAAAACAAACACTGATGGTCTTAATAGTTAATATTTACCAGGCTCCAGTTAATCCTCCTACAACCCACAGTATTGACATCAGGCTTATTTTATGGGTGACCAACCAGAGTTCCAAGGACACAAGACCAGTAAGTGGCAGAGTGTGGATTAGAACTATGATTGGGTGACCAACCCCGTGTGTTCCACCACAGGTCTGGTTGCTTAGTGTTCCAGTGATGTCTAACCTCAGACCTACTAGCCTCAGACTTCAACACAGATCTCTTTGGCTCCCACAGCTCCCGCTTTGCAGCTCTGTGCTCTATCCAGCCTGGTATGAGGGAAGGGAAACAATGTAGGGACTGGCTACTTACTGATGCATTTGAGATTGGGCGTTGTCCAGTGAGCAACATTTGTTGTCTTGTTTAACACACACTCTGTCAAGGTGGAAGTGCCGGCTTTCCGCTTGAAACCAGAGTTACAAACGTACCTCTCCCTGGAGTTCACATTGTAATTCTTGACCCGAATGTCTGCATGTTCAACAGATGTGGGAGTTGGGCACGTGGTGCCTACAGAGCGAATAAGAGAAGAGAAATGAGAAGACTTGGGTTTCTTTAGAGGGATTTTCTAAGAAACTGGTGGGCAGTAGTGTCAGATTATCCCAGGGACCCCATAGGATATACTCCAGGCTCCAAGCATGTGATCAGGAAGGGCACTGATCATCTAGGAGTTTTCTGGGAGTGTCCCTTAAATGCCAGCCATCCAGTATAGCTAGACATTGAATTCATAAGGAACACTGTGCCTTACCCCCCACTTCCCATCCATCTTCAAGCTTGTGCTACCTCTCAGAGTCATCTGTCTCTCTCCACTCTGGACCAAGCTTGTCTGAGGAATGTCACACTTGTTATTACTTGACAAACGTACAGACTGGTGTCCCTGCATTGTGGGAGACAGACTTGAGCCTAGGGTGAAAGTCTTATTGATAGCTATACAGCAGGCCTGAGGCAACGGCCCAACTGCTGGAGCCACAAGGAATGCCTTGTGACATTTTGCTCCCATTGGCAGATCGTGAGACTGATGCCTAGAGCTCACCACCCCCTAATCACCACCCTTGGGTGCCTCACCTTTAAACTACTTACTGTACTGTGCATCACCCTTGGATACCCCACCTTTAAACTACTTGCTGTGCTGTGATTGGACCACTACCCCTATGTAAGCTTGTGCCTTCCTGCAATAAACCAGATCTGCGTCACTGAACCTGGTCTCCTGTGTCTGAATGCGGCTCCACTGACACAGTCTCCTCACCAGCCCTGGGGTCTGGACTGGATGACTGATCAGGGGAACTAAGAGAGCAGGAGAGTGGCCACAGCTGGAGGAGAGCAGCCACTTGACGACCACACTGCATGCCCCCTCCAACACAAGCCTTTGATTAATTTACACAAGGCAGCCAGTATAATCTTTAGACTTGCTTGATAACTTTGCCCTTCCCTGGCTGCCAGACCCTGCCCTGTCTGCCCCCCTTGCTCTTTGTGCCTGGTCACACTAGCCTTTCCTTCCCGTTTGCCATGCACCATGCTGGTCCCACTTCCCCTTCACAGCCACCACTGCACTCCCAGTTGACTATATCCACCATCCTTCCTTGCTGTATGTAAGTGCACCACACATGGGAAATGCCCTGCAAAGGCCAGAAGAGGGAGTCAGATCCCCTGAACCAGAGTTGCAGATGATTGTCAGCCCCCATGTAGGTGCTGGGAAATGAACCCAAGTCCTCTACAAGAGCAGCCAGTGCTGTGGGCTGAATCAGTTCTTCAGCACCTGCCAACCGATTTTCATTTTAAATACTTCATTGTGAATCTATCGATCTTTCCTGGGTCACACCCTTTCAGTCTTTACTGTTTCTGTATTATTTTCAGATTTGGGGATTTGTTTTTTTTCACCAACTTGTTTCACATCTTTTAAGTCTTAAAATAGTTCCTTCCATGACCCACAGGCCTCCATCCAACTCACAGGCTCTCTGGGGTAAGTTGATGGTGCCCTTTGCGCCTTGACTCCCCCAGCCTCATTCACCCTCCCGTATCCCCCGACCATGTCTCTTCCTAGCCTGGGTCTTGTCCTATTCCTTGACTTGGCGCCCCAGACACTGGGGAAACCACCACTGCTTCTTGACCCTTTACATCCAGACCAACCCAGTTCCTTCTTGGGTCCCCAGGAGCCCTCTGGGCCTGGTGCCACCCTTACCTCCCTCTGCTCCCCTGGGCCTGCACAACCCGCAGGCCTCATTCCTGTTTGCAGGGACTGAATTTTCCTCTTCCTAATCCCTTGCATCCAGACCAACCTAGCTCCTCAGTGCAGTCCCCAGGAGCCCTTGGGCCTGCTTTGCACTCCCATCTTTCTTTGCATCTCTGGGTGGCATGGTGACCAGCTGCCCTAGACCAGCATCTTTCCTGGGCCCAGCTCACAGGCCAGTCCAACCCCCAAATTCATGAGGCCAAAATCTATCCTGGAAGGATCCAGACCTTAGGAGATAGCCTGAGAGCATCTGATCCTCATCTGACTTGTGCCTCTGTGGGAACTTCTGAAGACAAAGCAATCTGGCCACTCCAATATAAAATCAATAGAGAGAACCAGAAGCTTAAAGGAACCAGCTTTTCATGCGCAAAAAGTAAATCACAAAGACACATAAAGT